CCCGGCCCGGCCGCCAGCATGATGAACAACAGCGGCTACTCGGAGTCCGCGGGGCTCGGCCTGGCCGACGAGGCGGACGAGATGCCGTCCACCGAGAAGGACCTGGCGGAGGACGCGCCGTGGAAGAAGATCCAGCAGAACACGTTCACGCGCTGGTGCAACGAGCACCTCAAGTGCGTGGGCAAGCGCCTCACCGACCTGCAGCGCGAACTCAGCGACGGGCTGCGGCTCATCGCGCTGCTCGAGGTGCTCAGCCAGAAGCGCATGTACCGCAAGTACCACCCGCGCCCCAACTTCCGCCAGATGAAGCTGGAGAACGTGTCCGTGGCCCTGGAGTTCCTGGAGCGGGAGCACATCAAGCTCGTATCCATCGGTCAGTGCGAGTGGGGAGGTGGCCCGGAGGCGAATTGCCCCTCCCTCCCCGGGCGAAGGGGGTGGGGTGGGCACAGGTGTGGGTGGGTGCCCCTGCCCTGTCTCTCCCACCCTGCCATTCAGGCTGCTGCCTTCACGCCCCTGGGTACCCAAGGGTCACCCTATGAGAACAGGCCTAACCCTTCCCAACCCTCTAGCACCACACACTCCCACGACTGTCCTCAACAAATTGTCCCTTTCCCTCCATTGGGCAACTTCACTGCGACACCCCCCCCCCAAATAAAAGCAGGTGGCCTCCCAGCTTCCCAACACCACCACGGGGAGGTGGGACTGTAGACCGGTGCCCACGGTGCCCAGTCCACTGGCTGTGGGGAGGGCAAGTCCAGGCCCATTGCTGGCATATGCTCAGCCCCTGGCTCCGTGGAGGCCAGACAGGCCAGGCCCTGCCTTCGCCACCTAAAAAGGCACTGCCCCACAGGCTCCCCACAGGGGAGGGGGCTCCTGCCCCAGGGCCCCAACCCCCCCTACACACACACACCTCAGCTGGGATTGGCTGCAGTCAACGGTCTGGCCCCTGAGAGAGGGAGGGGGCCCTAGGAGGGAGTCACTGAGTGTAACCAGATTTGGAAGGTGGATGGGAATGGGGTGGGGGTAGGGAGTCACTCTGTGTGGGGCTGGTGAGGAGCCTAGGGTGGGCTTTCAGGTGCCCTGCCCTCTCAGCCCTGTCCGTAGTCCTTTAGGAAGACCCCACCCCTAGGGTGAGCTCTCAGGAGCTCTGCTGAGATTACTATCCGGAGTGGGGTGCACCCCAGGGCTCCTGAAGGAGAACTTCTTGGGGGGGGGGAAACTAGAGCTCCCCCCACGCACCTCCCCCTGCTGCACTGCAGTCTCACCCCAGGTAGTGAACAATCTGTCCACCCCCACTGTCCCTCAGGGCCATCTCTGGGCCTCCTGAATTAGCAGCTGAGGTCAATGTGGAGGCCCTTTGCCCTGTCCAGTCCCCTCCCTCAGCCTTACCCCTCCGGCTCCAATACTGCCCCCACCAGCCCCCACCCCACAGGCTGGCTCAGCCTGGAAATAGCCTTGCCTCCCTCTGTCCCTCCATGACACAGCAGATGTCAGTTTTCCAGGACAAGCCTGAGGACAGGGGTGGGGGAGGGGGGCCTGAGGTCGAGGTGGGGGCTGGAGAGGGGCTGTGGACTACCAGAATGAGTGTGGAGGGAGTGCCCACGCTGGCACCCCAGGCATGCTGGGATCTGAGAGGCCAGACTGATTGTCCCAGGTGGGGTCTCCAGGGAGCGAGGAGCTGGCCTGCCAAGCCTCTTCCTCCCTCCCTGGTCCCTTTCCAGGCCCCATCCTTCCCGGCAGGCAAGCACACCTCTCCCTCCCCCTGGCAGTCCCTGGCCCCGGGCCCCCCTCAGAGCTGTGGGGAAGATGTCCAGGCTGGGCTGGGGGCGGGAGGGAAGAGCCTCTTTCCCGCTGAGAGGACGCGGAGCCAGCCCCCATTTGGGCCCAGTGGCTCCCTCGCCTGATGAGATAAGCTGTCAGCAATTCAGCTGCCAGGGCTGAGGCCGGCAGGGAGGGGTCCTGGCGACAGGGGGCAGCTCGAGGTGTGAAGGGACAACCGAGGGCCGCCTGCTGCCTCAGGTTCCCCTCTTGTCATGTGGTGGTTGGAAGGGGCAGCCCAGGGTGGGGGCGTGCTGGGCCTGGGCAAGGTCTCAGGGCTGAAGTTAGGTATCTGGACATAGGGGGTGGTGTAGTTAGAAAGCCCCCCCCCCGTTCCCTTTCCTGGGGGAGCTGACAGTGCCACATCACCAGAGAAGGGGTCTCAGCCTGGGCTGGGGGAATCTGTGGCCCTTCTTGCCCCCAACACCCTGCCTGGGCCCCCAGCGCCCCCTCAACCCCTGCAAACAAAGACGCCTGTGAGGCAGCTCTGTCCGCAGCTGTTCCCCAGTTGCCATTCCTTCCCTCGGAGCCAACAGCGAGGGAGGGGCCCGAAGGGGTAGCAGCTGTCCCGGCCCCCCCCCCCCCCACCCCCCCCCCCCCCCCCCCGCTTTGGGCCTGGGGGGCCGGCAGGGACTGGCTGGCTGGCTCCTCCCACCCCTTTGGGGGTATCTCCTGGCTGGAGCGCGTTCGTGGGAGGAAGTCGGGCTAGAACCGCGCTTCCCTCCCGCGGCCTCCGAGAAGGGGAGGGGGAGGTCGCTGCTCCCCAAGTACGACCCGGGCGTTTGCCCCGCCCCTGCCCAGACGCCGACCACGGGCTGCCTGGCCACGGGCCAGCTGCTGGAGAGAATGTCCCTCTCCAGCAAGTATGAATGAGCAGCGCGTAGCCCCCCCCCCCCTCGGGGGTCCCCGGCTCGCAGGAAGCCCTGTTGGGCGGGGAGCAGGGGACGCACTGGGGTGTCACGGTGTGAGCGCCTCGAGCCCGGAGTGTTTGTGCTGCGAGAGGGCGAGCAAGAGGCCAAAGCGAGCAGGTCATGGAATCTGAAAGCGGCCAAACCATTGTGCTCTGGGCGAGCCAGGGAAAGGGGGCGGGCCGGGCGCGCGCGGAAGAAGGAAGGATGACTCCGTGGGAGCGAGCGAGGGATGAGGGGCCAGCCCGCGCCCAGGGCAGGTGGGGCGGGGCGGGAATGCGCAGCGCCCAGGCTGGGGTCTCTTCCCCACCCCCTCCCAAACCTATGAAAGAGGAGCAGGAGATATGTCAGGGGGAGCCGCCAGCCGGCGCCTGCCTCTCCTGTTTCTGGGACTTCACCAGTAAACAGACTGAATCTTCGCCCACCCTGAACCTTCTCCGTCAGCCTAAAGCAGCTCAGCGGCACTCCAATCACTCCATCTCCTAGCCTGGCTCCGGAAGGTTTTCCTTGGGGGGCTAAAGGGCCACTGGACCTGGGAAACCAATTCTGGCCTACAAAACCAAAAATCAAACTCAATGCCTTCCAGTGACACTGACAAGACAGTCACTCTGCATTGGAGTAGAAAGCCTCATTTTTCTCCTGCACAGCAGCTGGTGATTTTGAACTGCCGACCTTGCCAGTAACAGCCCAATGTGCAACCATTACTCAGTTCTGATCCACAGTCACCCTCAAAAGGGCCCATGAGTGGTGTGTCTCAGCTTCTGAGACTTCAGTCCACACAGGTGACAGGTCCCCTGACTCCTGTGGAATCCCCTTGCCCCAGTGTTTGCAGACATGACCTCTGAACTTTAACAGAGCACTGGAAAGACCTCTCTCCTCCCAAAAGCCTTCTGGGCATCTGGGGTGGAAACCAGGGTGGCCCTGCTCTTCTGCAACTTGGGGTTTTAAAACATTCATCCATACAACCACCATTTATTGAGACTCTTCCCTGCCTCAGGGGAGCTCTGGTGTGTAATGGTTAGCGTTGGGCTGCTAAATGCAAGATCAGCAGTTCAAAACCACCGGGCGCTCCTCAGGAGAAAGAAGGCTTTCTACTCCTGTAAAGAGTTACAGTCTGGAAAACCCACAGGAGCAGTGCTACCCACTCTTCCTCCCCCACCCCCCTTCCATAGCCTCTGTCCGTTGCAGTCGACTTGACAGCAGCGAGTTTGGTCTTTGGTCCGCCCCAGGCTCTGAGTGGAGAAAAAGTAAACGGCCCCGGACCTCCTGTGAAAGGAGACTGACAAAAAGCAGTCCTTCCTGTTTCTGCCAAAAATATAAAAACCAACAACCAAGCCAGCTGCCGTGAAGTTGGCTGAACTCATGATGAGCCCATGCGCATCCAAGCAGAAATGTGCTCTGTGGGGTATCCAGTGGGGTTTCCACAAATAGATTGCCAGGCTGGTCTTCCAAGGATCCTCTGGATGGGCTGGAACTACCAACCTTTAGGTTTGCCGCTGACATGCTACCCATGTGCACCACTCCTTTAGACGAAACTCCAGAAATTGTAGACTAACTTCCAGGGACACATCAGTGACTCCCTGTCCAGGGAAAGGGCACAGAGGGGGCCGGAGGAAAGGACCCCCCCCACCCATGGAGTTTGCCGAAGGGAACTTTGGAAGTGATGGACTCGTTTGTTCTGTCTAAGCCTATCAAATATACTCTTCATTGCAGACAGTTTATAATATGTCAAGCACACCACGAGGCCCAGTGGCATCGTGGTTATGAGTTGGGCTGCTAATCCCAAGGTTTAGCAGTTCAAAACCATCAGCTGCTCCATGAGAGAAAGACCAGGCTTTCTACTCCCATAAAGAGTTACAGCCTGGGAAACCCACAGGGGCAGTTCTACTCTGCCCTATAGGATTGCTGAGTCAGAATCGACTCGATGGCAGTGAGGTGTTTTTTTTAACACCTCAATAAAACTTCTACACAAGCAGACCAACCAGCAAAAACCGTGTCTGCCCGCTCGGGCCTTATAATCCAATAGGGCCAGATGCTGGTGAAGTGCAGGAATGGCTGGAACCAACAGGGGGCACAAGTGAGTGCTGTAACAGGTCCAAGTACCTGCGCAGGAGCACACTGGGCGGCCACCTTATTCTGAAGGGCGGGCCCCCAAAAGGAGCTGACAGCAGGGAAAGACTGGGTGGCTGAAAAGGCTTGGGGTTCAGAAATAGGAGGCCTGCGCCCACCGTTCTGACAGTCGCCTCGGGAACAGTTGGGCAGGTGGGTGGATAGCCTGGGTGGAGGGGTCCTGAGCTCTGCTGGTGCCCTCCACTCTGCAGACAGCAAGGCCATCGTGGACGGGAACCTAAAGCTGATCTTGGGGCTGATCTGGACGCTGATCCTGCACTACTCCATCTCCATGCCCATGTGGGAGGACGAGGACGATGAGGATGCCCGCAAGCAGACACCCAAGCAGCGCCTGCTGGGCTGGATCCAGAACAAGGTGCCCCAGCTGCCCATCACCAACTTCAACCGCGACTGGCAGGATGGCAAAGCCCTAGGCGCACTGGTGGACAACTGTGCCCCTGGTGAGTGGTTAGCCCTCCTGAGGCTGGCTGTGGTCAGAATGCCCCTCTTTTCCTAGCTGAGATTCTTCCTGCTGTCGGCCCACCACCGATGGGAGTGGTCGATTCTGCAAGGCCCAGAAGTGTTTGAACCAAAAAGCCAGACTCACTGTCATCCAGTCAATTCCAATCAGTAGTGACCTTGTTTACAGGCAAGGATGCTGAGGGCCAGTGACTTGGCCAAGGCAGAACTGAACCTCAGCTGGGGCTGCACACCGATACCTAGGTACCACTTCCACCGAGGGCGCCTGGGGCTGAGGCCTATGATGGTGTGGCCTGAGGCTGCTGTGGTAGCACCCAGTGGAAAGTGACCCACCCTAGCTCAGCTGCGTGGGGGCGCATCAGGAAACTTGGAGGCATCCCCTGCCAATAGCCATAACCTTCAGGTCCTGAGAGGGTGGAGCTTCCTCCAGCCTGGGCTGGTCACACCCAAACTGGGAGAGCCATGGCCCTGGGGAAAATCCTCCCCCAGGCCTGGGGTCAGCGGGGGAGCACAGGGTGGGAGGCGGGGGCACGGCCGCCCGGGAAGCATTCCCAGCTGCTGAGCCATTGCCCACAGCTGGTGCGGTCGCCAAACGGTGAGCTCAGCTGTTGGGGACCGTCATGGATTCCAGCCTGGAGGCGACCCAGCCCTGCCTGTGTGCACCCCCTCCTCCAGGCCTGGCCTGGTCCAGGCACTTAGCACCCTGCACAGGGTGATCTGTAACTCCCTCTACGTTCCCTGGAGAAAAAGACCTCCCTCGGTGCCTCAGTTTCCCCAGATGGGCAGTTGGCAGGGGGAGAGCCTAGTGTGCAGAGGCAGGTGCAGGACTTCAAAACAGCTGTGAGGAGAGGTCCAAGGCAGACAGGGGACAGGGACTGGGCCACCCCTGGACAGGATGGGAGGGGTCTAGGTGCTTATGGTCTGGCCGTGGCCTGAGCACTGGACAGAGCTGTTGCCAGGCTGCATCAGCTACCCAGAAAGGCCTCACTGTTGGTGCTTGGGAGGGATGTGGGGCCTCTGGGCAGAGATGGGCACCCCAAGCCGTGGGCCACAGCGCTACGGTTCAGCAGGTAGCTGGCTGAGGAGGGGTGCAGGATGGGAAATACTTGTGCTTGTGTGCCTGGCTTTCCCTCACTGTTCTCCCCTCTCCCTCCAGGCCTCTGCCCTGACTGGGAGGCCTGGGACCCCAACCAGCCCGTGGAGAATGCCCGGGAGGCCATGCAGCAGGCGGACGACTGGCTGGGCGTGCCCCAGGTACACTGGCAGGCAGGGGGCGTGGTCTAAAAGGCCACCTTGTAGGCTGGGCTGCAGGAGAGGACCAGCAAGTGCACAATGGGCGTGTGTAACTCTCCCCACCCCCTGTGCGGCAGGTGATTGCCCCCGAGGAGATCGTGGACCCCAACGTGGATGAGCATTCCGTCATGACCTACCTGTCCCAGTTCCCCAAGGCCAAGCTCAAGCCAGGCGCCCCTGTCCGCTCCAAGCAGCTGAACCCCAAGAAGGCCATCGCCTATGGGCCTGGTAGGTGCTCAGCCACAGGCCCGTGGGGACAGTTGCGCCCTTGAGGACCATCCCCCCAATGACCTGGCTCTACCTCTGCCCCCAGGCATCGAGCCCCAAGGCAACACAGTGCTGCAGCCTGCTCACTTCACAGTGCAGACAGCCGACGCTGGCCTGGGTGAGGTGCTGGTCTACATCGAAGACCCCGAGGGCCACACCGAGGAGGTGAGGGGGCTACAGGGGCTGGGGGCCACAGGGCCAAAGCCATGTGACCTGGGGGCTGCCTCCCCAGGAGACCAAAAAGGCTACAGCCACTATGACTTGACACACTTCTTCCCATCAGGCCAAGGTGGTCCCCAACAATGACAAGGACCGGACCTATGCAGTCTCCTATGTGCCCAAGGTTGCTGGATTGCACAAGGTATCCCATAGACCCTCACCTGCCTCCCTGCCTGCCCCCCTGTGCTCTGTCTCCCCATTCCATTTAAACACACACCTCACCCCGGCACCAGCCACCCTCTTACCCTCCACCCCTCAGCACAGCCACCACTCTGGAAGCTAACCTTTAAGCCCTGACCCTCAGGTGACCGTACTCTTCGCTGGCCAGAACATTGAACGCAGTCCCTTTGAGGTGAACGTGGGCATGACTCTGGGCGATGCCAACAAGGTGTCAGCCCGTGGGCCGGGCCTAGAGCCTGTGGGCAACGTGGCCAACAAGCCTACCTACTTTGACATCTACACTGCAGGTAAACTTGGGCCAGGGCCGGGGGGGTTGTGGGTGGGTGGGGGGTGCTGGGGTGGAGTCTGGCTCAGGTGGGCGCTGATGGCCTGTGTCTGCGGCAGGGGCTGGCGCTGGTGACGTTGCTGTGGTGATTGTGGACCCCCAGGGCCGGCGGGACACCGTGGAGGTGGCCCTGGAGGACAAGGGGGACAGCACGTTCCGCTGCACCTACAGGCCTGTGATGGAGGGGCCACACACAGTCCACGTGGCCTTTGCCGGGGCCCCCATCACCCGTAGCCCTTTCCCGGTCCATGTGGCCGAAGGTAAGGGCCCTTCCTCCATCCTCACCATCATTGTCAGCACGACAGCCTGACTGCCGCCAGAGCCCAGGGTTGATGGTGGAGGTGGGGGTGGAAAAACGGGGCCCTAGGTCTTTGCAGTGGGTGGGGGCTCTCTGAGGTGCCAAATGGGCAGAAGCAGCCTCTGGAGAGACCCCTATCCCTCCGTCTCTCTGCCTCTTGGCTTTTGGGGAGGTCACAGTGCAGGACACCCTGAACAGGTGCCACTTTATCAGGGCTAAGGGGGAAGCAGCAGACTGTAGGTCGCCCTTGTAAACACCCCCGCCCACTGCTTCTCTCAGTGCCCCTGCTGCCTCTCGCCCCCTCCATGCCCATCATCCACCAGGCCCTGTTAGTACCCCAGCAGAGGCTGGGCCGGGCATGGCCATAGCTGACTGGCCTCCTCTATGCTATGTGGCATGACCCCAGTGGTGTGGAACCACCTATTCCATGGCATCTGTGACAGGCTCCGATCCCTTGCCATTGTCTTGTTCTGCGGCAAGCCTAGGTTCCTGCCACATGCCTGATGATTTCTGTGGTAAAGTCTACATTCGGTGCCATTGCCTGAGTCCCGTGGTGGGTCCGTGCCACGTTCTGTGTTCCGAGGCAGGCTGAGACTCCTGTTCTGGTGTCTGTGTGTGGGGCCCGGGTCACCGCCATGTTCTGTGACAGGCTCGTGTCTGCGCAGTGCCTCTTCTGGGCCAGGCTGGCCAACACGGCCTCATGGTGTTAGGCGCTGCAGAGTGCATGGGGCATGACGCTGTCTCGGGGACTGTGGGAGACGCTCAGTGGCCCTGGCTCAGCCCTCTGTTCGGGCTCTGCCACGCCTTTGTCCCAGCAGTAGGACACAGAGCTGGGGGCGTGTCTTGTGGCCCGTCTGCTACAGAGACTGTAGGTAGCTCTCTTGCTCAGCATGCTGTCAGCAGCCCCCGTTGTGGGGACATGGGTGTGGGGCAAGGGAGCATGAGGCTTTGGCCTGTATCTGGGAGGGGTGAGGAGGACTGGGCTCAATGAGGCAGGGGTGAAGGGCGAGGGGCCTAGGCTCTGTCCACAGACAACCCCCCACCCAGTACCCTAACCTGCCTCCCTCACCTCCCCTCAGCCTGCAATCCCAATGCCTGCCGCGCCTCTGGGCGGGGCCTGCAGCCCAAAGGTGTGCGTGTGAAAGAAGTGGCAGACTTCAAGGTGTTCACCAAGGGTGCCGGCAGTGGAGAGCTCAAGGTCACAGTCAAAGGGCCAAGTGAGTCCTGGGGCTCAGCCTTGGGGGAGGGCAGGTAGGAACGAGAGGTGGCCACACCCAACTCCACATCCCCCTGGGAGAACCCCCACCCTCCTGTTCTCCAAAGAGTCAAAGTGAACAGAGCCCATATGACCTCAGGCCCATCACCTCCCTGCCTCAGTTTTCCCATCTGCAAGCCTGGTTCATGACTACCAGCCCTTCACTGTGCACAGGGCTGATAGGTGGGCCCTGCTCTGGCGTTTACACTGCTGGGCCTGGGTAAGGGAATTCTGGGTGGGACTCCCGCGTGGGACTTCCCTCCCTCCCCCTGCTGACCCACTTCCTGCCTCCCCTCAGAGGGCACAGAGGAGCCAGTGAAGGTTCGGGAGGCTGGGGACGGTGTGTTCCAGTGTGAGTACTACCCCGTCGTGCCTGGAAAGTATGTGGTGACCATCACGTGGGGCGGCTATGCCATCCCCCGAAGGTGAGCCCCGCTTACCGTCTCAGGGTGAGGGGGAGCAAGGGAGCCTCTGGGCAGAGCGATGGGGCCCTGACACAGCCCCCCTCCATCCAGCCCCTTTGAGGTACAGGTGAGCCCGGAGGCAGGAGCACAGAAGGTGCGGGCCTGGGGGCCGGGTCTGGAGACCGGCCAGGTGGGCAAGTCAGCCGACTTTGTGGTGGAGGCCATTGGCACGGAGGTGGGGACACTGGGTAAGTGGCCGAGGATTCAGAAGGTGCATATGCTGAGGGTGGATGATGGGGGTTCCTGGGGAATGGAGGAGGGCTGGAAGGTGTGGCTGCAGGGAGCTACTGAGGAAAGGAGGTGGTGGGTGACAGATGGGACACAGGGCCAAACCGAGGTATGATGGGAGATGGCACTTGGGTCCCTGACCCTTCTCACTGTGCCCTCTTCAAACCCAGGCTTCTCCATCGAGGGGCCCTCGCAGGCCAAGATTGAGTGCGATGACAAAGGTGACGGCTCCTGCGACGTGCGGTACTGGCCCACGGAGCCCGGCGAGTACGCTGTGCACGTCATCTGTGACGACGAAGACATCCGAGACTCGCCCTTCATTGCCCACATCCAGCCGGCCCCGCCCAACTGCTTCCCTGATAAGGTGTGGCTCCCGCCCTCAGCATCCCTAAGTGTATGTGTGTGGGAGGGTGGTGGGGGGTGTCCTCCAGTGCTCCCCCAGCCACCCCCTCTGTCCCACAGGTGAAGGCCTTTGGGCCCGGCCTGGAGCCCACAGGCTGCATCGTGGACAAGCCTGCCGAGTTCACTATCGATGCCCGCTCAGCTGGCAAAGGAGAGCTGAAGCTCTACGCCCAGGTGCGGCGTTGCCCCATCTCTGTGCTCACCTGGGGGCAGGAGCCCTAGGAGAGCGGGGGCAGGCTGGAGCAGGGAGTGGTAGCATCAGGGCCGAGTCTCAGGGGTCCAAGTGCACAACTTATTGGGGGCTGGAATGTCGATTCGGACTCAGTATTCCTGTCGGCCAGAGTAGTCCCACCCCTTACGGCTTCCTGTCTGCAGAAGCGGATCGCCAGGGCCTTTCTCCTGAGGGCCAGCTGAAGAGTTTGAAGCACCACCTTCTGTTTTGCAGACGAGCACTTTAACCCTCGTGTCACTATGGGTTCTTTCAAAACACCGGTGGATTTTAATGATCAGAACAGTAGTACTTGTGTTTGCCCTACTGATTAGCAATGGAAGGATGATTTCCCCGAGAAAGGCAGGCAGTCTCTCACACGGCGCCCCTGGGCCCCTAGCTGTTAGTGAACTCCTAGTGGGCCCCTAGGGGTTAGTGGACCTGAGGGGGTGATCGGTCTTTAGATGGATTTAGGAAGCTGGTTTAGCCTCCCCCACCCAGCTGTAACAACGCATGGGGTCTCTGTGAGTCTGAATTGGATCCCCCACAGTGGGTTTGGCTTGCGGGGGGTCTCTGGACCCCCCGGGTGGGCCCTGGTGGCTTGGACCCCTGGTACTGCCTGATGCCAGTGGGGGTGGGGCAGGCGGCCAGCAGAGGATGCAGGCGTGCTGAGGAGCCCCCCACACCGAGCACCCTCGGAGCCCTCCCTGCCTGTGGTTTCCGCAGGATGCCGAGGGCTGCCCCATCGACATCAAGGTTATCCCCAACGGCGACGGCACCTTCCGCTGCTCCTACGTGCCCACGAAGCCTATCAAGCACACCATCATCATCTCCTGGGGTGGCGTCAACGTGCCCAAGAGCCCCTTCCGGGTTCGTCCAGGGGTCCCAGAGAGAAGGCGGAGTCCACGCAGGGCAGGGTGGCTGCCCTTGGGTCCACCCCTTTCTCACCCCCACGCCCCCTCCCCCCCAAAAAAAAACCCAAAACAAACTCAAGGCTCCCTCTTAGAGGCCAAGACGTTGAAGGGTGGTGCTGGGGTTGGGGAGAGCTCTGAGGGAGGGGTCCTGTGTTGAGCGTCGTCACTCCCCTCCACCACACACAGGTAAATGTGGGGGAGGGCAGTCACCCCGAACGGGTGAAGGTGTATGGCCCCGGCGTGGAGAAGACGGGCCTCAAGGCCAACGAACCCACCTACTTCACAGTGGACTGCAGTGAAGCGGGCCAAGGTGTGAGCCTTACCTGGGAGTGAGGGGTGGGGCTGGGTACTGGGTGCTGGGCGGTGTGCGGGTCTGAGGGCAGAGCTTGCGCCAAGCCTGCTTAAGCTGGCTTCCGTGGGACTTAGCCAAGTAGGGGAGGTTGTTGAGCGTCCCTTCAGGGTCTGGTTGGCGGTGTCCCCTCAGGCGACGTGAGCATTGGCATCAAGTGTGCCCCCGGCGTGGTGGGCCCTGCAGAGGCCGACATCGACTTTGACATCATCAAGAATGACAACGACACCTTCACCGTCAAGTACACGCCCCCTGGGGCCGGCCACTACACCATCATGGTGCTTTTCGCCAACCAGGTAGCTCAGGCCCTCGGAGCCCGTCGTGCTTTGCGACCTCCTCAATTATGAGGCAGGAAGCAGGGGGGGCTGCAGAAAGGCTGAGGGGCCCACAGTGGATCCTTAGCCCAGTTCAGAAATACGGCACCCGAACTACGCCCTCCCTTCCCCCAGGAGATCCCCGCCAGTCCCTTCCACATCAAGGTGGACCCCTCCCACGACGCCAGCAAGGTCAAGGCCGAGGGCCCTGGGCTGAACCGCACTGGTACGCATCTCGGCAGGGGCCAGGCTGGGTTGGACAGGGCAGCCGCCAGGCCCTCATAAGTGTTTTGGGGGCTCCCCAGGTGTGGAAGTCGGGAAACCCACTCACTTCACGGTGCTGACCAAGGGCGCCGGCAAGGCCAAACTGGACGTGCACTTTGCTGGGGCAGCTAAGGGTGAGGCTGTGCGGGACTTTGAGATCATCGACAACCACGACTACTCCTACACGGTCAAGTACACAGCTGTTCAGCAGGTGTGCCCCCCCACCCCCCGCCCCCCACTGATAGGTTTTACCAGACCAGGTTGGCCTCCGTGGCCCCTGAGCTGCCTCCCGGTCCTCTCTCTTGCTAAGTACTTTTGAGGGGACAGTGCCAGACTGTGTCCACGCCACCCAGTTCTAACCCGCTGTTGTACCCAACAGGGCAACATGGCAGTGACGGTGACTTATGGTGGGGACCCTGTTCCCAAGAGCCCCTTTGTGGTGAATGTGGCACCCCCACTGGACCTCAGCAAAGTCAAAGTTCAAGGCCTCGACAGCAGTAAGTGGGCAGGAGGCTCCCGGGAGTGAGGGGTGTGGGGAATTGGGCAGGGCTCTCTGCTCATGGTGCCCTTGCCCTCTCCCCAGAGGTGGCCGTGGGGCAAGAGCAGGCCTTCTCAGTGAGCACTCGCGGGGCCGGCGGTCAGGGCCAGCTGGATGTGCGGATGACCTCGCCCTCCAGACGGCCCATACCCTGCAAGCTGGAGCCCGGGGGTGGCGCCGAAGCCCAGACTGTGCGCTACATGCCCCCCGAAGAGGGGCCCTACAAGGTGGACATCACCTATGATGGCCACCTGGTGCCTGGCAGCCCCTTTGCCGTGGAGGGTGTCCTGCCACCCGACCCCTCCAAGGTAAAGAGACAAGGCTGGTGGGGGCTGGAGGCTTGGCAAGGAGGAACTGGGTAGGCCAGAGGGACTTGTGTCCCTGGGAGGGGGCACAGCCAGGGGCTGGGGGTCAGAGGGCTCCCCCTCCCCAGGACCTGCCTGAGACAAGTTGGTGAGAGCTGGCCTCAAAGCCAGACTGGTCTGGACTCTCGGGCCCAGTGCCTGGCCAGCTCCTCTCCCCACTCTACCTCTGTTTTGTGGGGGCTTGTAACATGGGGCACTGCTAAGGCCTCATTCCTCAGGGGCTGAGCTGGGTGTGGAGTGGGGACCAGGCAGGGCCTGGGAGCCACCAGGTGTCCGGGACCCACACACCTGCCTTCTCCCCCAGGTTTGTGCTTACGGCCCGGGTCTCAAAGGCGGGCTGGTGGGCAGCCCTGCTCCGTTCTCCATTGACACCAAGGGCGCCGGCACAGGTGGCCTGGGGCTGACTGTGGAGGGCCCCTGTGAGGCCAAGATCGAGTGCCAGGACAACGGGGATGGCTCTTGTGCCGTCAGCTACCTGCCCACAGAGCCAGGCGAGTACACCATCAACATCCTGTTTGCCGAAGCCCACATCCCTGGCTCACCTTTCAAGGCTGCCATCCGGCCCGTGTTCGATCCAAGCAAGGTGCGGGCCAGTGGGCCGGGCCTGGAGAGAGGCAAGGTCGGCGAGGCCGCTACCTTCACCGTGGACTGCTCGGAGGCGGGCGAGGCAGAGCTGACCATCGAGATCCTCTCAGACGCTGGGGTCAAGGCCGAGGTGCTGATCCACAACAATGCGGACGGCACCTACCACATCACCTACAGCCCCGCCTTCCCTGGCACCTACACCATTACCATCAAGTACGGCGGGCACCCCGTGCCCAAGTTCCCTACCCGGGTCCACGTGCAGCCCGCGGTGGACACCAGTGGCATCAAGGTCTCTGGGCCCGGCGTGGAGCCACATGGTGAGCAAGGGGGCCATTGAGGGGAAGGGAGGGACTTGGGGCAGCTCCAGGATCTGGGGGTTTACACTCAGATGGGGGCGGAAGTCAGGGTGGTCAGGACTGCTGACATTTGTCTCCTAGCATGATTGTAATTGCCCACGGGCACGTTCCAGGGGAGACCTTCCACTTTCCTTAAAGAGTTCAAAATAAAAACAAACTCACTGCCATCAAGTCGATTCCAGCAGAGTAGAACTGACCCTATGGGTTTCCAGGACTGTATCTCTTTGCAAGAGTAGAAAGCCTCATCTTTCTCCCACGGAGGCGCTGGTGGTTTCAAACTGCTGACCTTGAGGTTAGCGGCCCAACTCAGCACCACCACACCACTAGGGCTCCTGGATTAAAGGGTCAAACCTCAACCAAACTCACCACCATCAGGGAGATGCCAGCTCATAACGACCCTATACGATAGGGTAGAACTGCCCCTGCAAATGTCTGAGGCTGTAACTCTGTAGCGAAGCAGAAAACCCTGTCTGGATTAAAGGGTACTTGTGGCGTTAAAAAAAAAAAAAAGAACCCTAGTGGTGCTGTTGAGTAAGTATTGTTCGGCTAACTGCAAGGTCAGCGGTTCAAACCCACAAGCCACTCGGTAGGAGAAAGGGGAGGCTATCTGCTCCTATAAAGATGTATATAGCCTCACAAGCCCTGTTTAGGGTTGCTATGAGTCTGCTGCATCAACTTGATGGCGGGGGCCACTACTAAACCACTAATTGAAAGGTTGGTGGTTCAGGCATACTGTGCGGTATCTCGATAGAAAGAGCTGGCAAGCTGCTCCCCCATTTTCAGCCTTTGCCTGCCTGTGGTTACAGTTCTAATCTAGGGTCACCAGCCATCAGCATGGGTGCTACCTGAGCTGGTGTTTGGGGTTTGGGATCTAAAAGACCTGGGAGCCCTGCTCCAGAGCAGCGGTTCTCAACCTGTAGTTCACGACCCCTTTTGGGGGTCGAATGACCCTTTCCCAGGGGCCGCCTGAGTCATACCAGTAGCAAAAATACAGTGATGAAGTGAAGTAGCAATGAAAGTAATTTTATGGTTGAGGGTCACCACCACATGAACTGTATTAAAGGGTCGCGGCATTAGGAAGGTTGAGAACCACTGCTCTAGAGGGTGGAGAGGGAGCATTGGGGCAGGGGGCCTGGGGGGGCGGTGCCTCTCAGTCCATCAGCATCCTCCTCCTGCTGGGCTGGGGCCATTCCTGTGCTGCAGACAGTGAGGTGGGGTGGAGGGGTAGCGAGAGAGAGGGCTAGACCAGGGCCTCAGTGTGAGCAGGGTGTCTCAGCATGGGGTCAGGAGCTCAGCCTGGGGGCAGGCAAGGAGACTGGTGGTCTTGGGCGGGTGCATATACGAGGGCTGCTCCCCTCCATGCTGAGCACTCCTCTCTCGGCACCAGGTGTCCTGCGGGAGGTGACCACCGAGTTCACTGTGGATGCAAGGTCCCTCACAGCCACGGGCGGGAACCACGTCACGGCCCGTGTGCTCAACCCCTCGGGCGCCAAGACGGACACCTACGTGACAGATAACGGGGATGGCACGTACCGCGTGCAGTACACTGCCTACGAGGAGGGTGAGGGCCGGGGCCGTGTGCTGGGGTGGGCAGGTGGAGAAGCACAAACTGGAGGAGGGTGCTGCCCCCACAGAGCTGACACTGTCTGCTGGCTTCCAGGCATGCACTTGGTGGAGGTGCTGTATGACGAGGTCGCTGTGCCCAAGAGTCCCTTCCGAGTGGGTGTGACCGAGGGCTGTGACCCTACCCGGGTGCGAGCCTTTGGGCCAGGCCTGCAGGGCGGCCTGATCAACAAGGCCAACCGCTTCACAGTGGAGACCAGGTACTCTCCCACCCTTCCCTGGCCCCAGGTTGCAGCACCTGCTTACCTTTACCTCTGTGGGCCTCACCCCTCTCTGGGCCTCTCCCCACCCCAGAGGCCCCAAGGGCTGTCAGATTGCCCGGAGCCCAGCCCGGGGTCTGCCCTCTTCCCTGCCCACTAGCTGACTTGGGGGACTGTTGTCCTGCAGGGGAGCTGGCACTGGGGGCCTCGGCCTGGCTATTGAGGGTCCCTCGGAAGCCAAGATGTCCTGCAAGGACAACAAGGATGGCAGCTGCACCGTGGAGTACGTCCCCTTCTCCCCCGGGGACTACGACGTCAACATCACCTTTGGGGGCCGGCCCATCCCAGGTGTGCGGCTGCAGTGGGGTGGAGCATGCACTGGGAGAGGGGGCCTAGAAGGAGGCTGATTGTGGAGATCTGAAGCCAGGTCCCTCCAGAGCAGCGCTGGGTAAAGGGAGGGCAAGGAGGGGGGAAGGCTTAGGTACTGCGAGTGGGGGTTAGAGCCAGGTGGGCTGCTCCTGAGGTATGGCCTCGGTCGGGCAGGTCCTTCAGACACCGTCAAGCTGAGGCCAGCCTCCCTGACCCGCTGCCCTCAGTGTGTGCATGGCAGAGAAGGCCCCTACCTGTCTGCCACCCCCGGGTTTCCCTTTGGGCAGAGCGCTGCATAACTGGGGCTGTCCCCTCTGTGTACCCCGGCTGTCCCCTCTGCATACCCCAGGCTGTCTCCTCTACATACCCTGGGCTGTTCTTCTCTGCATATCCCAGGCTGGGCAGGTGATGGGACTGACCCCCTTGTCCCTGCAGGGAGCCCCTTCCGAGTGCCAGTGAAGGACGTGGTGGACGTGGGGAAGGTGAAGTGCTCGGGGCCAGGCCTGGGGGCCGGCGTCCGGGCGAGGGTGCCCCAGACCTTCACAGTGGACTGCAGCCAGGCTGGCCGGGCCCCCCTGCAGGTGGCCGTGCTGGGCCCCACAGGTACAGATCTTCTGGAGCGGGTGGAAGAAGGCAGCGGGGTATTAGAGGACTCGGCTGACTGGCTCCCCTGCCCAGGTGTAGCCGAGCCTGTGGAGGTGCGTGACAAGGGGGACGGCACCCACACTGTCAACTATACCCC